TCAATCTCCTTTGCTGGTTCCTAATGTCTTACCATTGGAATACCTCAAGGCTTGGTTTCTGGATATCTATAGCTCTCTTAGACATCTCATCTAAGAGTTATAACAGTCTTCTGTTTTAAATATCATCTCTATACTGATGACATTGAAAATTGTATTTCTCACTCAGATCTCTCTCCCAAACTCCAGAATTCTATGTCCAACAAGGTACTCAACAGCTCCATTTCACTGACTAATACACATCTCAAATGCAACAAATCAACAGTCTGTTCCCAATTGTCCCTCAAACCTGCTATCTTGCAGTGCTCCTTGGCTAATAAATGACACCTCCATTCTTTTAAAATTTGAATCTTATCATGTCATGCCTTTACTTAAAAACCTCTAGTGTTTCCTCACCTTGTTTAGGCTCTCCATGACCTGTTCCTTGTCACTGCTTTGCTACTGTCTCTCATATTCTCCCCTGGACCACTTTACTTCAGCCACATTGGTTACTTTGCCCTAAGTGGCCTTTGTATCTGTTGTTTCCAATTCCTAGACAGCTCCATTCCAAAAGTCCATATAACTCTCTCTTTTACTTCTTTCAAGTATCACTTTCTTATTGCAACCTTCCCTGACCACCCTATCTAAAACTGCAACCCTGCTTTCCCATACACCATTCCCAACTCCCTTTTTTGCTTTATTATTGGCCTATGACTTGGCACAAACACAGTATATATTTAACTTGTTTATCCTAATTATAAAAAAAATCTCCTCTACCAGAAATTCTGTTTTGTTCACTCTCATACTCCATTACCTTGAACAGGGGCTGGCACAAAATAGGCTCTCAAAAAATATTAGTTGAATGAATGAAGGTAATCAGTGATAATAAGATAAGCTACCTTTTAGGTAGAAAAGTAAGTAGGAAGTAAATGAGGTAAGTACGTCATACATATTAATGCATAATACATGTTAATTATTCCAATTAATATTATAACTGTTGTGTATCTGTTGAAAATAATTTTTAGGTATGAAGTGCAGGAAAGGAAGGAGAAATTCTAGTTAAAAGGGAGTGGCGTAGAAGTACATGGCTTTGCAAGTTAGCCTCAGGCAAAGTAAAGAGAACTTTGGAAACACCCTGGAGTTTGGCCCAGATTACAGGCTCCCAGGCCTACTTAGCAAGTGAGGATATGAAGGAGGACCGGGGGAGGCAGGCTGGGATTTGTGTGAGTAGGGTCATAGGGTCTGTATGCAGTCTTCTGGATGGTTCAGGGTGAGACCTCTAGGCTCACAGACTGCTATGCGCCAGTGTCCATCTTGAGAATCTCTAGTAGTTTTGAGTTTGTAGGGCAAGATCCCAGGCTTACAATATTTGTCTGTTTCTAGTGCTAGGTGTGCATACCCTAAAGGAAGTGCTTTGCTATCAAAATATAAATCCTTATGGTGGGTAACAGCAACTCTGTCTCTATTATGCTGCTTTGTGCCTAACACATAGCTATGTTACATGTTTCCTTCATAAGTTAGAGTGAAAATAAATTCGCAAAACATATTTTAAAGCGAAAATGCAATTTTAAAAAGGCACTCTAATTCTTGGAGATATAAAGGCTATATAATTCTCAAATGTCTTTGTATCCAGATATAGCTATTTGATTAGCTGATACAGGCACAGTCTATGAATACAATTCCTTTATAAATCATATCACCTTTGCACTTTATAATAAAAAGTTGATTTTCATAGATTATCCCTAGACTTTACTAATTAACTTCCTTTGTTCCCATTAAACAGTCCTGGGGACAGAGGCACAGAGCCTGTGCAACTTCTATTTTTTCCACCAACAGTGAAAAGGGTGTGGGGAGGTATAAAGGTAGATATTATTCTCTGTAACTATGTATTATCATATAATATTTTCCAAATTTTTCCCAGTTTCAAAGAGGAAACAGTGGTAACCTCTATAATACCTGCCTCAGCCTTTCTTTACATTTGTAATTGGTTTCTCACATGGAGTTTGAACTTTGCTTGCTACACTGGTACAGATGTGGCCAAGAACCTCTTATCTGTGAAATTAATTAAACTGCTGGATCTCATTTCTTTCAAAGCAGTGACCTCAGACTCTGTACACTAGGGTGGAGAATATGTGCGTGTGTGTATGCATGTGTGTATAAAATATGAACATATGCTAGATATACATATATTATGAGACAAAAATAAATAGAAAATGACAAATCCTGAGAGAAAGGAAATGAAGAAAAGTATGAGAAGGGAAGACATTCATTAAGTTTCTACTATGAATCAGGCACCTAGGAAAGGAGGTAAAGGGGGAAACAAAGATGGAGGGATGTGATTACCTGGATGTTAAAGAATAAACTTGTAAAAATCTCCTTTCTTAAAAGAGAGTACTTAAGAAAGGATGCTGGCAATCCAACAGGGAGAGCTTGTCAAGTCATTCAGAGGAGAAGAGAAGGCTGTGGGGCACTGATTTTGGCTTTGTCTCCCCTAGGTGCGAGGTTGCTGTCTCGCCATGAGATGAGTCAACTTTGAAGTTCTGCTGAGCAGTCTAGATAGCATGACTTAAAAGTGCAAGTCCCAAACCAGAGTTCAGTTCCCCAGAATACAAATGCTCAGAGAACCAGACAAGGTCAGGAAAAACCAGCCCAAGACGTTTCCCTTTAAACCCAAGGGAATGTAGTAGTCTCCATAATTAAAAGGATTCCTATACCGGAGGTTTCTAGGTACTGGTATCATTTTTTTTTTTTCATTTTTAAAACTGTGGGTCCTTAAAATGTCTCTAATTGTATCTTTATGATTCCTCTGATGGTAAGAGGAGGAAGGGTGACCTCGCAGGGTCCCTGGGTAGGTGGGAGATAGTCTCAGGTCCAGCTGAGCTTGGAACATGAAAAGAGAGAGAGGAAAACAATAACTGTTTTAGCGAGCTTTAAAGTAAGTCTTCAAAAACTCCTAGTTAGATTTTGCTCGTATGTCCCTTTGGCTTTCCCCACCCCCACTGCCCAATATCTCATCAGATAACCTCAGCATTTTTGAGCTTATTATAGAAGGTTCTCTGCCTCCATTTGCATTTGTGGGTAGATTATACTTTGGTCCAATTCTTCATTATTCTCTATATCCATAATCCTTACCATATAACCTTGTAGTGCTTTCCTACTGTGGTTGGTGTCCTGCGCAGTCTCTTGACCTTGGGTATGTGATTTTTTTTTTTTTTTGGCCAACAGCATGTGGAAATGTGATGCAAACAGAGGCTTGAAATGGACTTGCACATTGGGTCTTGGTCTTCTGCTAGGAGAAGAATGACAGATAGCTGGCACTGGCATGTGCCCCAGCCAAGCCCACCTTAGACTTAAATCCTGCAGATGTGTGCAAAATAAATGTTTATTTTTGGATGCCACTGAAGTTAGGTTGTATGGTTATTTGTTACACAGCAAAAGGTAATTAATACAAATGTCATTTGATACATGCTCCTCTTGTCTGCCAGAGTAATGTTTCTAAAATGGAACTCCACTTATTCTAAAATTACTTTGCTTAAGACACTTCACTTGAGTGACTTCTTGTTATGGGCTAAATCTGCCCCCCTCCACTACCAAATTCATATGTTGAAGTCCTAGCCCCCAGTATCTCAGAAAGTGATGTTATTTTGAAATAGGATCATATAAAATATAATTAGTTGAGTTAAAATGAGTCTATACCAGAATAAAGTGGGCCTCTAATCTAATTTGTCTGGTGTCCTCATAAAAAGGGGACATTTGGAGAAAGACACACTCTTAGGGAGAATGTCATGTGGACATGAAGGTAGGGATCAAGGTGATGTATCTACAAGTTAAAGAATTCCAAAGACTGCCAGAAAACCACCACAAGCTAAGAGAGAGGAAAAGAACAGATTCTCCTTTACAGCACAGCCCTCAGAAGGAAATAATCCTACTGAAACCTTGATCTTAGACTTATACTTTTCTCATACATTACTTTTCGGTTGGTGAAGCCACTCCTCATTTCCTTTAGGATAAAGTCAAAACACTCCTTCACAAAGTATGAAAGTCCTTTCATAAGCTGGTCTCTGGCTTTATCTATGGTTTCAACCCTCAATGAAGCCTTACCCCATTCCTTAGCCACACAGAACTAGTTACAGTGCTTTGATCAACTGTTTCAGAGATTTTGTCCATCCTCAACTGTGGTTTCAATGCCCTTCATACTACCTTCCTATTCCCTACTAGATCCTACATGATTACCTAATTAACTTCTATTTGTATTTCAAGCTTCAGATTGGACATCATCTCTGGAAACTTTCTCTTCACCTTTCCAATTCTAACTACAAGAGGATGCCCTATTGAATGAGACCCAAACACCCTATACAGATATTTCTATCACAGTCCATATCACACTGTGGATAATTAGTTGTTCATTACACATCCTTATCCTCATCAACAGACTTGATAATGAACCTCTTAAAGACAAGGTCATATCCTATGTCCTTTTATTCCTAGTACCTAGCATAGTGCTTGGCACAGAGGGGCTGTGCAGCACATATTTGTGTAAGAATCTATATCCAAACACATGTGTTTGTGGCATATGGAAGTTACATTCTGCTAGTGTGACAACTGGCAGCTGAGTTTACGGAGAAGCGAAAGCACCCAATTAAAGACCAAACATCACTTCCTTATTCTTCTTCATTTCCTTCTCTCTGTATAACTACCCAATCTCACATGCTTTATAATGCTTTTAGATGTAAGTGACTGTGAATTATTACCGACTGTAGGCCTTTCATCTTCAAGACTGACAGTCTATGTTCCACATTTCTCAGGAGGGAGAGACTATTATAACTATATTTTTGCTTACCAAGAGAATTGTTAATGGTTATCCTGGAGGAAAAAAAAATCTATAAATATCCAATCTATAACGAAGCCTTAAGCTTACTTTCTTCCTTTGCTAATGAAATTCTTTCCGAGTGCATTGGCAGAATTGCTACATAACCATTACACTGTGAAAAGAGACAAAGCCTGTAGTGAATTTTTTCTTTTACCTGTTTAGTCCTTGTTTTGGAATCCAACGACAGATTGTTGTAGGTATAATGTGCCTGGGTGACTCCACAAAAGAGAACAGCGACTATTCCTGAAATTAAAAAACATAAGGTCAAAACCAATTTTCTTTGCCATCTAAGCCAAAAAAAGGTAGGGCCACCTCAGCTAGACGAAGATGGACTAAGTGTCAGTAGAGTTAAAACTTCTAATAATTACCATGATGTAGTCGGCTCTATTATTAAAAGGATCCTATATTGGAGTATACCTGGCTATTTGTTTTGAACATGGGTCTTACAGGATTAACATAAAGAAAAGTATTAAGAAGTACATTCTTCCCTCGTCATGTGTTAAAAAAGTTATGTTTGGGGAAACACAAACAACAGACTATAATCAACCCTGGGCTTCTCCTAGCCAGTGCCAACTGCTATTTTTGCATTTTACACTAAATGCTGGCATATTCGCTCAAACTATTGGCTTTTCACTGACAAATCTGAAGAGGTTCCCATCGTACATAGTATTAAAAACCATGAGTCACAGACTTAAGAAATCCACAAGGGTTTTGTTGCTCGTGCCGATGCCTCTACTTGCCAAGCATGAGAAACAGGTCCTTGTCTGCCCCTATGCCTCCTTGACAGAGCTGGGAGTTCTGTTTTATGCTGCTGAAGAATCAAATGAGCACATCCAAGGCACACATTCCTTGAAGGTAAATTGGTTTGTTCTTGCCAGCTTCCTACACACAGTGGACCCTCAGCCCCTTCTAGGCTGGCTGCAGGATTTATTTCTTAAACCATCAGTATACCCAGTTTTTTAAAAATTTTTAATGCTTATTTATTTTTGAGAGAGAAAGAAAGAGAGAGACTGAGCACAATCAGGGGAGTGGCAGAGAGAGAGGGAGACATAGGTACCAAGGCAGGTTCCAGGCTCTCAGCTGTCAACACAGAACCGACGTGGGGCTCGAACTAATGAACCGTGAGATCATGACCTGAGCCAAAGTCAGCCGCTCAACTGACTGAGCCATCCAGGTGCCCCCCCAGTATACCCAGCTTTAAATGCTACATGAAGCCATACATACATTAGATGTTCCCTAGGGACAGAAGAATAGCAACCATGAGACAGATGTGTCATTTGTCTCTGGGCTGTTATTCTCTGTTATCCCTCCTGAGCTGGGGTAGAGAAGTGGTGGGGGTGGCATTCTACTTTGGATTAAATATTCTATTAATTATGGGAAATTGAGCATAGAAGAGGGCTTTGGGAAAAACACAAGATATAAGTATTCCTCAAGTCAGACCAAGGGGATTGAATTGAATTTCAAGCAGAGAATCTTTCCAACTAAAAACATTCATAAATTAAATGCTGATGATTCTTAAGAGTATAGAGATGTGTGAACTGAATACTGACATCGCAAATGAATCTGCAATAAAGAATTTTAAAGAATCAAGCATTTTTAAAAAATATTTAGACTGGATGCTTCTATTTATATGTTGGTTATTTCTTGGATTGGCTTTGAATAAAATATTGCTATGACACATTTACCTAGTACAAATGCACAGATATTTATATTACTTATTTTCTTTTAATATGCTTCAAAATTGTAGGCAAAAGAATAAAAATGACTAGGAACTTTTGCCAGGAAATATATATGCAGTAAGCATTCTATAGATTTTTTTGGGTAACTTTTCAGTTTCTTAGCCTCTTTTCAGAAATTCTAAGAAAAGGATGCTTAGAAAATACTATATGTCACTCCTCACAAATATTCTATTAAAAATCAACCAATACCAGGGAAACTTTTAGTATACTTAAGTACTTTAGGTACTTGAGGCATGAGGAAGATTGCCACGCATATTTTTGTTATCAAATATTTTTCTTTCTTTATTTAAAAATGTAATTTCTCTCCCTCTGCTGATTCTGTAGCCTGTTGGAGATTTTTTTCTGGGTGAGGTTTAGCTGACCCTCCCACTGATGTGGAAACATTTTGATTATATATTGATTTGTGGAGAAGTGGTGAATAAAAAGGGTGGGAGTATGTGTGGGTAATGCATAAATGTATTCTGAGAACAAGTAGTAACAAAGAGGTGTTATAAAGGATAGGGAGGGGATTTAAGATCTGCTGAATGCCTACAATGAACCAAGAATGCACCATTTCATAAAAATCATCTTATTTATTGCACTGATTTATTATCTCACAACAGGCTTAGTACTATTAACCAGTTCTTCCTACTGTCTTCCCCTTCTCAGTAACAGTATCTCCATCCTTCTTGCTATTCAGGCCAAAACTCTGGGATCACCCTTTACTTTTCCTCTCTCTATAAGTCAGTGATTTTGTTGGCTGGTCCTTTGAAAGTTACCTGAAACCAGCCACTTCTCAATGCATCCACCCCTAACTCTCTTTTCCAGGCCAGCATCTTTTTTTTTTTCCTGCCTAGATTACAGATTCCTGATTGGTCCCCTGTCCCCGCTGTTAGCCTCTCACAGTCTAGCTCCCATTCAGCCAGAGTGATTCTTTTAAGACAATTTAGATCATGTCAGTCCTCTGCTCTTCTTTTTTTTTTTTTTTTTTAATTTTTAAATGTTTACTTATTTTTGAGAGATAGAGACAGAGCCCAAGTAGGGGAGGAGCAGAGAGAGAGGGAGACACAGAATCTGAATGAGGCTCCAGGCTCTGAGCTGTCAGCACAGAGCCTGACGCGGGGCTCGAACTCGCAAATAGTGAGATCGTGACCTGAGCTGAAGTCAGACGCTCAACTGACTGAGCCACCCAGATGCCCCTATCAGTCCTCTGTTTTAAACTTTGTAATGTATCCCCATGACTAAAGGCCCTGTAGGGTCTAGTCCTGCCTCCTTCCCACAGATCTCTAAGCTCATCCCCTACTATCCTCGCCACTTGCTGTACACTGTATCCTGCTAAGGATGGTCTACTGCAGTGTCTTGAACTTTTGCTTCCCACTGTTTGGAAAGCTGTTCTTCAGATACCTGCATGGTTCCCTTCTTCCCTTAAAATGTTACATTATCAGACAGGCCTTCTCTATGCATTCTATAAAAATGGTCCCTCTCATCATTCTCTACTTGCCTATCTTGCTTTATTTTTGTACATTATTTACTGCCGCCTAACATTTTCTATATTCATGTGTTTATTTTCTCCTTCTAGCATTGCAAAGGAAAGATCATGGAGTGCAGAGGGATTCATTGGTCCCTAACCCTTTAAGCAAAGTCAGGCACACAGTAGACATTTGGCAAGTGTTTGTTGAATAAATTAATGAATATCCCTATTCCCATGTAACAAGAAACAAAAGTAATTTACTCGAGGTCACCTTGAAAGTGGCAGAGCTGAGATTCACAATTTCACAAACTCTCTATGCTTTTCTGCCTATATTAGACCATCTGTGAATGTTTTAAGGTAATCTTAAACCATCTAAAAAATATATCATTTCTGATGTCCCAGTGAAATAGTCAGCCATATGAGGTGGCTGGATAGCTTATTTTTCCTAGTGGCTTCATTGGTTTTCCTTTTGTTGCCTCCATTAGAATACTAACAGGCAGTGTTTCTGCTAATACTTTTTTTCTTTTTTTTAGTTCTGTGTATAGATATGTCACACAAACAAACAATGGAAAGTGTACCTATCTGACCAAAGGCTTGGTGTTGTAATTAAAATAAAACAACTGGGGGGCGCCTGGGTGGCTTAGTCGGTTAAGCGTCCGACTTTCGCTTAGGTCATGATCTCGCGGTTCGTGGGTTCGAGCCCCACGTCGGGCTCTGTGCTGACAGCCAGCTCAGAGCCTGGAGCCTATTTCAGAGTCTGTGTCTCCCTCTCTCTCTGACCCTCCCCTGCTCATGCTGTCTCTCTCTCTCTCTCCCTCCTAGAAATAAATAAAAACATTTAAAAAAAAATAAAACAACTGGGTTGATCTAATCCTTAGTATTAGCTACATAATCATAATTCTATACCTTAGTAATTAACGCATACAAGTTACTATAATTAGTGTGACTTCTACAAACCAAAACATATTTTGAAAATGTCTCATCTAAATATATCTATTATCTATAAATTGTCTGCCATGTAAGCAGATTCAGAGTTGAGAGTTTTCTACCTTACAGAAGTATATTTTAATTGTCATTACATTTTGCATACCTTTGCCTGTTAGTGCTAGTCATACTACTGTTGCGTGGGGCCCTAGACAACTCTCTTACATGCTCTGCATCTCAGATTCTTAGCTGCATGAGGAGAGAGAGGGGCACCAAGTGCTCTTTATGCGGGTCAGCAAACTAGTGTCTCAGCTCCAAACCCACCCTCTTGCGCTTGCCATGTGATGCAGGGCTGGGGCTATGCAGACCCCATCTTCCTTTGCCACAGCCTGTTGAGCTCTGTTGATATGAGCCGCAGAGGGAGGCTAGGATGTCAGAGGCGGAAGAGGCCTTGCTCCCTTCCTGTCTGCCTGCTGCTCCTGTCAGTTGCGTCTCAGCCATTGTTCTTCTCCACAGCTTTTGAAGTGGTTCCAGCCTCATGGGCCCCACTCAGAAGTCTGGGTCCCAGCTCCAGCAGTTACGTCTTAGGGACTTCTAGATTCTCTTCCCTTTATTTCTCCTCACCCGGGGTTTACACTCGCTTCATGCAATTATGGCCTGTATTGCCTCAGTGCCCCCATTTATTTTTTCAGCTGTCTATCATCTGTATACCCAATCTCCTGCATTAAACTCTGGGCATAGCTAATTGGTTTCTCTTTTCCTGATAAATCCTGACCTGTACTCACTTATGAGTCCCTTCTCATTCTAAACTTTGATGGTTCTCTGAAACCACTGAGGGTGTGTCATCTGGAAATAAGATCCAACCTGCATCCTCCTGTTAGGACTGGGACAACAGGGGATGCCAGTGGCAGCTGTGATGCCATGCCAAGTCCCATTCCTATGGATGGATGGAACTGGCATTTTTAAAAAGTGATGTGAGTTTGAGCTATTAGATTAGAACAAGAGGCTTGGGGGAAGAGAGTAAGTTAGGCCTAGAACTATTAAAGAGGCATGGACTACACTTAGACTTGTGTCTTCTGCTTTCCAGTCCCATGATCTTTCCAAAATATGAGCACTATCCTACAATGGAG